TTTGAATGTTACTGATTAATTCACAAATTGAATGCTTTAAAAGGGACAAAATAAGGAGTTATCAAGTTGATGTATTCATTTCATTTTTCTCGTGTACCGGAGGTATCTTATTCCTTCAAATATATAGAAATATATCTACTGATTGAACTAAAATAAAAAATATTGTCATATTTTATTTCCAGATAAACTTTGCAAGGTTTTGTGCCCATGAAAATTGTTCTGCTGATTTACAAGTTTCTGCAAAGGTTGGATTTTTGAAGTAAGTGTAGTATATTCTCTGTTATTCATTAAGAGGGGTAATGAGGGTGTGCATATGGGTTACAAAGAGAAAAGGACTCAGAACTAACCCCTGAGAGTTAGCAGCATTTAAAGAACTGAAAAAGAATAACGTTCTCCTGAGACATTAAATGATCTATACATCGTCCACAGTAAGTACACATTTAAGGATTACCACTTTTCAAAGAATGAGACTATATGAGCACCAAGGCTTTATGAAGCATGTTTTAATCTTTTATTGATAACTCTGAAGATATTTCAGGGTTTAATTGTGCCTCGGGTAATCATTATTATAATCATAGTTATGTTTTAGACATTTGTAAGTGCTTGTTAATAGAGTTTTGGTTGCAAAATGAGCTTTCACTTCACAATGCTTAGTTTTTTATTGCCTAGAAAACTGGTTATATCATTCAGACTGACATATGAAACAATCCACATTTGACAAATTTGAAAGGGAATAAACTACCTCGCTCTTCTAAATTCATAGAAGGGGAAATAGGGTAAAAAGGAAATATATGTGATGTGCTTAGAATAGCATCTCACACAGTGAAAACTAGATAACTATTGGGTTGCTGTTGTTATTTTATGATGGGAAATAAGCCATTGCAATTTTGTATCATGTCTAGATCTTCTATATTCAAATTATTTTGCGTATCAGAGGGAAGATGTGAAAAACGAGGGCCAGAGAGAAAGAATCCACACTTCAGGGTGAGGTTTGATGATGATATATGGGAAGCGAAAGAGGGGAAGGACATGCATCAGTAACAGGGCAGGAAATGGAAAACTACTTTCAGGGAGTTGAGATATAAAGGAAACAGGGTTAATTTAGGGCATGTCAAATTTGGAGGGACTTTTGTATGTAGTGTTCTACTTGAAAATCTACTTCAGGATTATGTTTGGAAGTTCTTCCACGCATTAGTGACTTGTGAGATTGCCCAGGGGGGTGGAAATGTGAATTTCAAAGAGAAAAGCACCAAGGATCAAATCTTAGGGAATGGTTTCATTTAAAGAGCTTAAAAGGAATAGGGAGTCCCTGAGGGAGACTGAAAAAGTACCTACAGAGAACTAAAAGGAGAACTAAATCCATAGTGAAATGGCCAATGGAGAATATAAAAAGGGGGACTTAATATTGTAAAATTTATCGAGAGTTCAGATAGCGTAATGGCTAAAGAAAGATCATGGGGCTTGGCATGTAAAATGTGGCTGGTGGGGGAAATAAAGGGTGTCACTGCAAATGTTGAGATAGTACTCTCAGTGCAGTGGTAGCCAAGTGACAGGGTCAGTGATGAAGGAAAGGAGAGCATCCTGGGAACAGGTAGGTTCAATTGAAGAATTTTTATGTATTTATCAAATGTTTATTTAATCATGAGGAGACATTAAGTGTGAAGGGCCAATGGCAGGGAAAAGAATAAATTGGAGAAACCTTCAAGTTAACTCCCAGGGGGTGCTTTTCTGTCCTTACTTAAAGTCTCCTCAGAAGCATTTGACAGCTGTTCACGTTCTCTTTTGCACGTCTTTCCCTTTAATTTCCTCGATGCCATCCTACTCCCATCTTCCTCTACGTTTCTAGCCCTTCCTTCCCGGTTGTCTTTGGTGGATGTTTAATTTTGGCATCCTAAATGGTCCTCCCCCAGCCATTTCTCTCGGTACTGTATCTTCCCTGGGTAGTCTTGCTCACAACTGTGTCTCCACCTGGCATGCCTACACTGCTGACTCCTGACTCGGTATCTCTGGGTTTTACACGCAC